AACCAGATTCTCTTTCCAGAGACCTTGGAGGAAATTCTTGTAGGATTGGGAGATTGGAGTGCAAAGATTTCAAAGGAGATTAGAAAAGAAAATCAAAGCCATGTGTCTCTCCAGACCCTTCCTTAATCCCCCTATAGCTACATTTATAAGTTTTCCAAGTTTTGAGCTCCTCAGACATGATTCCTTATTTGGGGGTGACATTGGTTTTAATTTTCTTATCCACAAAATACTTAAAAGTGCGGAACAAGATTGGAGAGGAGATGCAGTTAAGTTACTATTAAATTTGCTGCCACAGGCACACTGGGCAGAGACTCAAATTTCAATTGAAAAGTTCCTTCCTTCCCCTCCTTCCTTCCTTCCTTCCTTCCTTCCTTCCTTCCTTCCTTCCTTCCTTCCTTCCTTCCTTCCTTCCTTCCTTCCTTCCTTCCTTCTTTCCCCTTCTCCCCTACTCCTTATTTTCCTCCTTTACCTTCTATCTCTGTCTCTATCCTCCATCTGTATCTCTTTTCTCTCTCTTCCCAAATTCTCCTTTTTTAACTGAGCTACAACAGGGCAGGATGGGCCATATCTGTTTATGCCTTGGTGGGTGCCAATCTTGAAGCAGGACTCAGTGCATGGGCACATCACTCCCCCCAAAACAAATCCAGAATTCTTCAAGTACTGGTAAGGAAAGCAGGTTTTAATGAATCTTTACTGAAGATTCTATAAAGAGGCAAATGAAGGGATTATACTACAAATCACACAGTAGAAGTTAATGAAAATTTCCACTGGGCATCTCCAAAACCCCCATCCCCAAGCCTGTCACTTACATTTCTTCTTTGGTGGCAGTCCCCTCATCTTCTTCTCTATCCTTCCTGCTCCCATTGCACTGGCTCTAGGCTTTTCTGGGTCCTACATCTAACTCCAACACCCCCACCTGGTATCTCACATAGGGAAAGGTAACTTTCTTTGACTGCCCCTCTTTTGTGTCTTCCTATGCATTGCCCTACTCACCAGACAAAGGTCCCTCCCTAGGATTTGCCCTCTTTAGAATGTGACTGGGAATTTTTAGTAAATGACAAAAATTTTACACTGTTCCAAATGTTTTTTCCCTGTCATTCATTCATTCACTCATTCATTCAGCAAGTATGCACAATAGAGTACATCTGGCAACTGCTGTGACTGTGCTCATTGTAAAAAAGCCATCCAAACTGTCCATAGTGGGGGTGGGGTGGGACAGGGTGGGGAAAGTGATAGGGTTCACAGACACATGAAGGTTCGGAGTTACAAGATCTTAAAACTAACAGTGACCTTAGAAATTGATGGCAGGCATTTCCTCCTGGGCCTGAGCCTTTAGTCAGGGAGAATAAGAATCAGGATGAAGATGTGGACATGAGTCTTAAGCCCAAGGAAGACCTGATGATTGATGAGCATCCATCAACAGGGCGGTGCTGACCTCTTTGTTGAGCAGGATTTGTAGCAGGGGGTTCAAAGGCCTGAGAGGTTAAAGATCAGAGGGGCTTTGCTAATGTACATAAACTAAAGAACTAACAGAAGTGTCAGTGTTAACTGTCAACAGATCTTCATCCAAATGCTTATTGGGTGAGTCAGTGCAGGGTTGGCTGGGACTTTTATCTCATGAAGCTATGCTTGTGTCCATCCAGGCGTGGCAGAAAGGAGAGAACCACAGGGCTGTCTATCAGCTGAGGGCTATCAAGGTAGACTTGTCCAACTTCCTCTCCTGTAGAATTATGACAGTGTCTCCAGATCCCCTGGCAGGCCATGCAATTTTCAAACCTGCCTGGAGGACCTTAGGAGGCTTGGGCTGTGGTTGTTCAGCAGTGGTGGGAACAGGGGCCATGTTGATTCAACTTTTCAAGCTGTGTGTTTACCATTTCCATGCTCAATCAACATTGATTGGTAGGAGGTGATTAGAAGTCAACATGGAAATGATGTCCAGATTCTCGAGGGGCTGGACATATGGATTAACCCCTGGCCACAGATGGCCCAACTGTGCTGTTGAAAGCAAGGCTGTTGGACCTAGATGATGATGATGATGAGGAGGAGGATGACGACGACGACAATGATTTGTCATTTAGTGTGGTCTACCCTGTGCCAAGCATTCCCATTGTATCTTCAGGGCAACCTTCTGAGACAGGATTTCCTTTTGACATAACTTCACTCCTCTAATTACACTCTGCATTTAAACTCAAATATGTCTGATGCTAACATCTGTACCTATAGCCATCTCCGTAGCCATACAAAACAAGCAAATAATCTCTCCCCTTACCACACAGCTGAGCCAGAGATAGAGTGACGGGGTGCTCTGTAGGCTCAGCATGGCCTGCCAGGGCCTCCAGGACTGTTCTCCCACATAAATGAACTGAAATGGGCATCAGGATGAAGGCAAATTTGGAGAGTACACTGGTTTTCAGTGTTGCTGGGTTTACAGGAGTGACACCATGTTTCTCAGGGCTCAGGGGGACAAAGACAGGTGAGAACTCTCATTTCCCTAGGCCCTCTCAGCCTTAGGGAGAAATTGACTCATGGTAGCACTATGGGATCTCTAAAATTTCTTATTCTTGAGTCCCTTCCTGGGCCATGGGTCTTCAGGGGCTTATGTCTGCCTGTGACAGTCTCCTTAGCAGAGGCTCATACTTGCACCACTGCTGTTGGGTATCACCTTCTAATATGCAAGATGGTGTTTTAGGATTGCAAAATGAGTAAGGGGCTCACTGTGCTGTGTGGAAAAGCAGATGTGGAAATGCAGCATTCTTTTCCCAAGGATCCCCTGCTATGATGAGTGGGGAGATGATACCTTGTCGCTCACAGAGTAAATATGGAAGGGAAATGGCAGTTTGCAAAAGGCTTTCAACAGAGACCTTGCTAAATGCAACTCTTTGAAGGAAGTGATAAAGTTTTCATCCCTCCTGGCATGGTGCCTGGCACACAGCTGGTGTTCAATGAATGTAAACTGAACAGTGATAAATATTTTTTAGGTGCATCATGCCAGGCTGTGGGTGAAGGGTAGGAAGGTGGAAGAGGATCTGTGATGTAAACATCAATCAATCAAAGATCCTGATTTCTAAGTGTAAGGTAGTAAAAACTGTCTTTGGGGACAGGCAGATCTGGGTTCAAATCTCAACTCTGTCACCAGCTGTGTGATCTTGAGCAAGGCTTTAACCTCTCTTGGCCTCAGTTCCCTTCGTCCAAGAAAGTAAGACATAATACCTCCCTCACATAGGAGGGGGGATGAACTGAGGTAGCAAATGCATGCACCCATGTACAATGCATGCTGTAGTGCAGCTTATAGCAGAGCCCCTGGTGGTGCAGCATGCACATCCCCTTGGCCCCCTGGAGGTCACTACAGCTCTCTGTCTCTGGGGGTTCTCTGGTTGTGGGGCTAAGCTCAGTATACACACAGGACAAGCTGGAAGTGCCAGGGAGTCAAGTCCAGCAGTAACCTTCAACCAGTGAAGGACTCACTCCTGCCTGCTCACCCCTCGGTATAATGATTCTTAATTGGTGCTTCACACAGTCTCCTAGAAGGTCCCTAGTGGAACTGAGTCCCAGTTGTCTGTGGCATTAACCTGCTCATGGACATGTCCATATTGTCTTTCTTCCCTTTACTTTCTCAACACTCTACACCCTCACCAACCTTCCTGGGGCATCTCCCAAATAAACTATTTACTCTCAAATCCTTGACTTAGAGGCTAATCCAAACTAAGACACAGACAATCAAGAAAGCTACTATTACTGTGATGTTTCATAGGGCATAGATGTAGGTAATTAATACAGAGAAATTTAAAATACTATAGAAGAAAAGGAAGGATGATTGCTGCCAGCTGAAGGCATCTGGAGGGCTTTGGGAAGGGGATTATGTGTAACATTTGATCTGGATGTTAAAATGGGAAGGATTTATACATGAGGAGATGGGTCAGAGAAGGGCACTTCAGTGCAGAACAGGGCCTTGTGTCCACTTTTATCATTTTTTTGTATGATTCCTATAAAAGCCATGCGTGAGTCAGGTGGGCTGATAAGTCAGACGGATCCATACTCTGGTCTCATATGGACACAGAACTCCCTTGGCCACATGGTCCTGGCACTTGGGTCCTGTGCTCAGCACACTTTCAGGCTAAACTCATCAGTGCACATTACACAGGGTTAACGCTTTCCTGTTGCCCATGAAGTGTGGCTCTGTAATCTCTTTTCTTTGCCAAGCTGTATGTCATGGTCTGTGGAGACTCCACTAAGCACCCTGCACAGCTGCCCACTGGAGCTTCCCATGGGTCTCGAGTCTTCAGAAGGCACTGAGGAGGTTTCTGCTCAGTGTGCCTCAGGTCCTCCAGGAGCATCAGCTGTCTTCTCTGCTCGGCTCTGATAGGACACACTGGCACTATGACCCCTGAGTTTGAGACATTAGCCTTATGCTGTTTGTTTCACGTATTTTATCTGAGTATCCTTCATCATTTGAGTGAGTGAACTCAAGATGTCTCAGCCTATCCAGAGGACATACAGCTGAAGGCTTTCTTGCTAAAAATGAAAGTGGAGGAAAAGAGAAACAATTCTATTTGCTCAAAATAAATCTTTGCTACCTGTTTACTCTAGTTCAGTGTTTAATAAGCCTTTTTTTTAAAAAATCAGGGGCTTTTGTTTAAGTAAAATTTTAATTATACAGGTAAAAGCTGAATTCCCTTGGTGAGTCAAGGTGGTAGGAGGAAGTTCTGCTTGCACAGACCCCTCTTCGAGGAGCACAGTATGAACCCATTGCTTGACTGGATAAAAAGAGGGAAGTGGAATGAGAAAGGTGATAATCTTATGTACCCTGGGCCTTTTTTAATCCTTATATTGCATACTGGCATACCACTTGGGACCTCCTAGATGAACTCAATTCTAACATGCCAGAGAGCTGAATCTCTTGGTTTCTACTCTGTAGGAGAGACAATGGCTCATGTCACAGGGTCAGTACTCAGAGAGGTGAAAAATCTCTCAGTCTCATCAGCTTTACTCTTCTCTTTCAGAGGTTCCCAAAACAGAACAGACTTTTGAAGAACGCCTGATACTGAAAGCTTTCTTGCTAAAGTTTGTCAATGCCTTCTCGCCCATCTTCTATGTGGCCTTTTTCAAGGGGAGGTGAGTGTATTGGTGTCATACATGGAAGAGAAGTTGGTCATTAAGTCTGGGTCCTCCAATGGGGTCACCCAGTCCCCATTGTCAGTTCACATCCTCAGCCCCATTCCCCATTCCCACCCTCACCTGGCTGTTCAGGAGGCAGTGGTATTAACACTAAACCAGTTTGTATTAACATCTGCAGATTCTGATAAACAGGAAACTCTACAGGGATTTGGCTCTGGGCCTTGAAGAGTGAGTCTTAGAAGAATTTGTGTCTCCCAGCTTTGAGGATATGGCAGAAGAGGATTTCATGTCTAGCCAGTGGCTCTTAGGTTTTGCAATGCAATTCTGATGCTAACTACCCAGAGTTAATGTAAACTTCACAGATTAAGGGCACAGTCATCCACAATGCTATCTTCACTTCAGACACTAAGCCCCAAGCTATGGGGTTTCCAGGCCACTCATGATTTGGTCAGCTGACCCCCACAACCACTAACCCTTCAGGTTCAATAATTCACTAAAACAAATTGCATAACTCAGAAATGTGCTATACTTAAAATTACAGTTTTATCGGAGCAAAGGGATACAAATCCAAATTGGCAAATGGGAGAGCCACATAGGGTGAGGTCTGGGTGGGTCCTAAACAAAACTTTGATGTTCTCAGGACATGTCATCTTCCTGGCACATTGATGTGCACTCCAATCGGAAAGCTCATCCAAGCTTCAGAGTCTAGAGTTTTTATTGAGGTTTCAGTATGTAGGTGTGATTGATTGAGTCATTGGCCATGTGATTGAACTCAATCTCCAGTCCCTTTGTCCTTCCCTGAGGTCAAGCTGCTATTCCCTGGCTCAAAAGCCTCAACCTTTGAATCCCATGGTTGGCCTTTCTGGCATGGTCTTCTTCATCCTGAGTGATCTCATTAGTATAAACTGAGGTATAGTCCCAAGGGCCCACCAAGAATAATAAAGACACTCCTATCAGGAAATTCCAATGATTTAGAGGCTCCTTCCAGGAACTGGCAACAAAGGCCAGTCAAATTCTTCATTATATAATAGGTCTGGGTGTAAAATCACTTTTGATGAATATTTCTGTGGTCAGATCAATTGGCTACCTACAAGGAGATTTCCCAGTAAGCATCAGCTGTATCAGGAAAGCCTCCCTAGAGCTAACTGCTCATCAAACAGACATTGGTAGCAAGAACTGTCATCATCCACATTTGATAATTTTTTATAAATGTGTTTATAGCCCAAACCACAACCCCTTCCCAGGACCTCTGTCCGTGACTATTTCTCTGTTATAGTAGCAGAGAAACTGTTCATATTAATCAGCATATTTTCTATCTAGATTTACTATGAATAACAAATGGCATACATATGATCTTCTAGGTGAAAATATATAGACTTCTGACTTGAGATAAACTTGTGGTATATTGGAACAGTAGTTTTGGCAACAGTACAGCATAATCTGCAAAAAATGCTGTAATAAGAGGTATAAAATGAACCAAAACAAGGGAACCAAAACAGAGAAGCAAAGATTTAAGCCAAGTCTTAAATAGCTGAGTAGGATTTTAACAGGTGAGCCCAGGAATGGCTTTTCAAATAAGTAGGATTCTTCTGATCACCTGTCTAGATCCATGATTGGCTTTTACTTCTGTGTGTCCCCCACCTGTCCAGTCCTGTTATTCCCCAATAAAAATGATGTTACTTTGAAGAGGAATGAGGCAGGCTTCTTCCATTCCTTTAAATGCTTTCAGTCAGAAGTCTCAATTTTCCTTTTCTGTTCCCAGGAATCTCCACTTACAACTTTAGTCTGTTTCACCCTTCATTTCCTGGGAAATCAGAAACGTTCATTGAGGAGTTGCATTTGGAACTCAGTTCTTGAAACTAGTTGAGAGAAGAAGATGCACACACAATACACTTACAGATAATCCAAACTTTGTTGTGATTAAGCTCAGAAGTCACCACACACACACACACACACACACACACACACACACGCACACGTATACTCCCTCCATGGGACCTTCCCAGCCCTACACTAGCCTTAACCCCCACCCCCTGGAGGTGAACCCTAGGTGTTATAGATCATTGTTAGCTGATAAAAGGGTATAAACTGTCCCTGGGTGATTTACCACCTGCCTTGGCCAGCACTTGCAAGAAGGACTTCAGCAGTGGCTATTCTTCTGAAGGCATGCCCTCAAGCAGCCCCGCCTTTCTCTCTCTTCCCCTAATTCTTCCCACACTTCTCAATTTCAGGTTTGTGGGCAGACCTGGAAGCTATGTTTATGTGTTCAACAATTACCGCATGGAAGAGGTAAGTGTAGTTAACCACTGACTGGTGTTTCCTGCCTGGCTAGTGGTTTGTAGGGGCACCCACCTCACCCCCAGCACCATCCTTATGCCCCTTGCACCATGGCTCTGAATCCCTGCCTTTGCTTCTCTGGGCTCACTTGGTCTAACCTCTCCTTCCTTTGTCTTTTCCTCTGCAGTGTGCTCCCGGGGGCTGCCTCATGGAGCTCTGCATTCAGCTCAGCATCATCATGTTGGGGAAGCAGTTGATTCAGAACAACATCTTTGAGATTGGAGTCCCGTATGTAATGAATGCATCTCATCTTTCTCCTTGCTGCCAGGGCCTAGCTCAGCAGGATTTCCATGGCCTCTCCTCTTCTCAGATAGCTTGGCAATTTAGTCCTTTGTCCATTTGCCAATAAGGCAGGGCTCCTCCCATAAGCCTGGTTTGCCAATCTGATTTGGGATGTTTGAGGCTCACAAAGATTAAGTACTTCATTAAGTACACGTAACCAGTAAGTGGCAGAGCTAGGAATCAGGTATCTCTGACCTCAATGTGTCTAATATTTTTTATGCTATCTGTTCTCTCAGTGAACAAGTGAAAGAGACTTCCAGTGGGGTGGATAGGGGAATATGAAAGTTTGAAATGCAATGTAACTGTTTAGGAAAATCTCTCAGGGAGTGTGGAATATATGACTTTAGGAGAAGAAGGATGCATACTCACAGCTGGTGAAATAGAATAGATTTCTACACAGAGCTCTCTCCCATCCAGGGTGGGTTCATACAAATTTTATAGAATTAGGTTTACATTGAAATAGTGATGAAAATAAACACTGACTCGCAGACACAAGACCTAAAGAAAAGAGTATGCAGCAAATGAAAACCTACCTTCAGGTCAAAGAAGATGTAACCTGCTCTGCCTTTCAGTCCTATTGCTTTATGGTGTTAAAGAACCTGTTTCAGGGGGTATTTTCAGGAAACCCAGCATCAGAGAGCCAGAGATGACTGGAGTAGTACTTACAGGCTGGGCCAATTCTGTTTAGGAGGACAGGATGGACAATTTGTATTAGGCCTGGAGTTCTTTGAAAACCCCTTGTGTGACTAACCATTCTGGGATGCAATTGTTGGTCCCCACAGGGTTAACTGAAGATACTGCCACACACTCTGATGGACTCTGCACATTGTATTAATGGTTCTGAGAGATCCTGCTATAAAGAAGCTTGTTTGGTCTCTTCCTTTCCAACTTTTTGTTCATGTCATTGGCTGTCTTAGTTGTGGGCATTGGGATATACTCTGGCTAGTGCACAAAGAAAAGGAATTTAAGGACAATAAGCAGCTAACAGAATATCCTTTAAGGGTCAGAGAGCCAGATTCTGAGCTGCATAACCAGGAATAACAATGTCTGCAAGACAGGAGGGCTTGAAGGGAATGCCACAGCCTTCGCTTCTTGGCTCACATCACTCATATATTAAAAGATGAGAATTGTATACCAGAGTCACACCCACAAATATTGCAGTCTCTGAACTTAACTAGCTATCTGTATCAGCTTGGGCTGCTGTGACAAAATAACACAGACTGGGTGGCTTAAACAACACACCTGTATTTCTCATAGTTTTGGCATCTGTGAAGTCTAAGATCAAGGTGCCAGCAGATCTGACTCTTGATGAGGACCCACATCCTGGATCGCAGATGGCAGCCATCTTGCTGCATGCTCACGTGACCTCTTCTTTGGGTGCATGTGGAGAGAGTGAGAGCTTTGGTGTCTCCTCTTCTTATAAGGGCGTTAATCTCATCATTGGGACTCCTTCATTCTCATCTAAACTAATTACCTGCCACAGGCTCTATCTCCTACTACCATACTACCATCATGTTGAGAGTTAAGACTTCAACATGAATTTTGGAAGAGTTACAACCATTCAATCTATAACAACAGCCTGTCTATTTTCTTTCAACCTAAGTTAAAAAAAATTAAAAATAATGACAGCAAACTCATAGTTATTAACAACCACACCTAAAACAAAAACAAAAATAAACTAAGCAATCAACTTGAACAGGAACAGAACCACAGAAATGGAGATCTCGTGGAGGGTTAGCAACAGGGGAGTGGGAGGAGGAGAGAGGGGGAAAAGGTACAGAGAATAAGTAGCATAGATGGTAGGTAGAAAATAGGAAGGGGGCAAGAATAGTATGGGAAATGTAGAAGCTAAAGAACTTATGACACATGGACATGAACTAAAGGGGAGGAATGTGGATCAGAGAGGGTGTGCAGGGTGGAGGGGAATGAAGGGGGGAAAATGGGACAACTGTAATAGCATAATCAATGAAATATATTTTTAAAAAGATTTTAAAATACATATGTGAAATAGCCCTTGTCTTCTCAGAGTTTAAGTTTGGGAGGCAAAACAGATATTATGTGACATGGTGCTCTCTGTGTAGTGCAAACTCAGAATTCATACTGAGTAAAGGTTAGGGACTTGGGAACAAGCAGTCAAAGAAGGCCTCCTAAGCTGAGGGCTTATCTGTGCTGTGTCTCTCTCTTGAAAGAAGGCTGCTACCATCATATGTAATAAGATGGCCTGCAATTGTTATGTTTGAAGAAATAATTTCTCCTGGGTGTTGATATCTTGTTAAGCAAACAACAGATTGACTCAGCCTTATTAAAATCACCTCCTGACCCAGGTGGTGCTACAGATGGAGAAAAGTAAGTCTTATAAAGATGGTAGCTCCCTGATCAAAGTCTTGGGGAATGTCAGGGTGGTGGCAAGAGCTCAGAATCTCACAATCTGTTGAAAGTTTGCTGAGTCCTGTGTTGCTTGGGCCACATCAGAGGATGTGTGATCTGCCGGCTCTCTCTATGGACCAGAGTGCCCTGCTTCCATGGAGGGGAGGGGCTGTAACTGTCTGAACGGTCTCCAGACCATTGGTTTTCCTCAGAAACGCATTTAACAGAGCTAAAGTTATAATGGAGAAAATGTAATTTATCTGGAAAGAAACTTTATTTTAGTGAGAGCTCTGTTTCTAGGGATGAGCATCTTTAACAATTCCCTCTTAAAACGTTGCCAGCCCAGTCCTCAGAACAGATCTCAGGATCGGCCACCATTAATTAGGCTGAATGCTTAGGATGGTTTTCTGTCCCCACACTGGGACAACCTCAGGTGGTCCTTGGGCAGGTGATTCTCTTGGAGGAGGGTTGTTGAAAGCATTGGTCTGGGTGTCTTGTTCCATCTCTCTGCTTAAGTGAGCCTCTACTCGTCAGTCAGGAAATCATTGGTCTTGAGAACCTGAACCCTCTGAAGCTGGGCCTTGTTTCCCAGCTTTCTGATGGAGAGTCATTCAGTGACAGTCGTCAGGCAAAGCTGGTGAAACACATGGTTGCTGTGCTCTAGTTTACCATCTCATAGAGACCACGGTTGGTTGTTATGGACAAACACCCAGAAAATATGCAGACCTAAAAAAGAGGTACCAATGCCACCTCTAGCCCCTGTGACACTGAAGGCAGCCCCTCCACCACAGCTACAGTGGAAAGTATACATTCCCCCTCAACATCTGGGGACGACACCTGCCCTTCCAGCACATTGTTGTTCTGCTCAGGATGGAATAGTTTATAGCTCGTGGGCATCAGATGCCCATTTTTTTCATTTCTGGACATCTGCTGTACCATTTAGCTCTTTCACACTGGACCCAGCAGCCTTTTTAAACTGTAAGAGAGGCCAAGAACTCAGGCATATGTTGGGACAGTGTGTTGGCATGGTCCCCACCCATCAACTCCATCAGCTCCATAACAGTTGAAGCTAACACATGGCTGTTTGCCTTGAAGGCTAAACTTTCTGGTTTATGCTTGCTGTGTGGTTGATATGCCACAGTTAATTAATGGTAATTGCACAGTAACTCATACAGCTGTGGGCAAGTCACTTCTCTAAGTCTCGCTCTCCTCATCCTGTGACAACAATGATGGCATTATAACCATCTCCAAGGTGCTCTCATTTCAGCTCGAATATTGTGTGAACCTCTCCTCTAGTTAATAAAGCTAGTCACTGCTGCTTCCAAACACAAGCTTCCGTTTCAAAGTGTTTTTCCTCATTCCAGTTTCTAGTCTTCTAAGGACACACACAACATAATTACGAAGTTAAATTTAGGGATGTAGAACAAAAGTTTGTCCACCAAACCTTAGGGTCCTTTACCTTCAAAGATCTTTATAATTCTACAGGTTGTATTTTGAGTTTGGTCCCGTGAAATCACTATGGTTATGATTTGTGGGTTTCCCACTCTCTACTCAGAACCTACTCTCAATAAATTAGACCCATCTAATCTAGCATTCAGCACCTGGCAATATCCTTGTGTGTGACACAGTTCAAATAACCAAGAAAATAAAAAGGAGTCTCTTATAGTCTGAAGAGAAATGACAGTTGAGCCTGACAGTGAGGAAAGAGCAGTGTAAATTATAAAAATTAGGCCCAGTGGTCTTTGGCTTTTTGGTGGAGGTGACACATGACTGTAGGGCAGAGATTAGGTGGTCCAATGGATCTAGGTTCAAATCTAGGCCTTACAATATACTTACTGTGTGATGTTGGGAAAGTTATTCTAGAAGGACTTTCATCCAACGTGGTTATATGAAAATATAGTTTGGGTATATGCTCAGCTATCTAGAAAATGGAAGAAGGGACATCTGAGAAAAGAAGAACCATTCTTGGGGGTTCCAGGTGGCCAAGGTGGTGCTGAGTTTCACTGACTTACATGTTTACAAGTGATGCTCTGTAAGTGTTTAAAGTCCAGGGAATGGACTGAAAAGAGAAACTCAGAAACATGATTTTTCTTTTCTGTTCTGTGTCCAGTGGCTTTTGGTTGAAAATGGAGCTCTTCATGTACCTTCAGTGCCTGCCTCAAAGTTTATCCCCAAGGGAAATAAATATTAATCTTAGAGACCACACCTGATTTTATATAAAGAAGCAAGTCTGAGAAGTTAGAAAGATGACATGCTAGATAAGACTATTTGGGGTAGCAAAATATAAGATTGACTATCTATAGCAGTGATTTCCAACCAGTTGCCACAAGGATTTTTAAAACGCATGATACCTGACTATTTATTCAGGGGCGTTGACTTCTTTTCCCTTAGATTGTCAAATTAAAAATATGACAACAGCCAATACAACAAAACCCACCCAGTGTGAATGAATCAAATATATACCTATTTTTTTTGTCAGGTTGGCCAAAAAAATAATATATTTTTCGGTGGGTTGCCAAATTTTAGTAATTAGTTTATGTGTGCCAAGAGATGAAAAAGATTGAAAATCACTGGTGTAT